GCCCCCTGAACCCAGCAGACACCTGATCCAGCCATTATACTGATGCCCTGAAGGAAACGGCTCTTCTGAAATTCTGGCTCCATAGCAGGAGCACCGAGTCCTTCTGAAAGTTCAACCGTGAATTCAAATTTTCCCAGTGGACATTCTAGCAAATTCCCGTCTCCACCTGGCACCCCACTGATGTTAAAGGTGAGGACTAGACCCCATTCCTACCATGCTTACTTGCCCACCCCTCCAAAAAAAATCAGACTTCCAAACGTGCTGTGTAAGTGGAGAAGCTGACTTTTTCTTTGCTGGAATAGAAGCATGCAAACACTGTGCTGTAAGGCTGCCCAGGTGGCTGCCACATGTGTCTGGCCCCAGCAAGCAGACACGACAGAGTTCTGCATTAAACGTCTCATAGCTACAGTAGCTATTAGCTGAGCACTGTAGCTGGTGCGGGTCAAAGGCCTGGTACCTAGCCTTGTTGCTGTCCTGCTTCCTCACCCAGTCTTTCTTCTAGGATGCAACGCTTCCTGGATAGTAGTCGGCCACGAGTGGAATTTTTTTGCCACAATCTGCCTTATTTAGGGTTGTGCAGTATGTCAGTAAAATCCAGTGTGATCCTTACCACCACCCAATCCTGGACCAGCACCCTGATGTATTGAATGTGGTTACAAACACTACCCAAAACTTCAGTCCTTGACCCAAGAAGGACTGGGAATTACATTTTCAAAACTAACACTGAACATGTTTGTGTTTCAGTTAGGCTTGTAAATCCTTTTCCTTTTTTTTTTTTTGACCTACAAATCTTATATTTAGAGCATTCCACCGTAACTTCTCTTTGGCTTCAACTCAGAAAACCGGGAAAAATTAGACAGCAAAAATAATAGTGAAAATTATATTTCGGGCTATAGAATGCCTTGGTTTTTAAATACTACTTCTAGCAGGGAGTTCTGCTTTGAAACAGATGGCGCGCTACAGCTTTTTTATTTTCAACTTGGCATGTGAGTGTCATAAATATAGAGCCATCTTTCAAAATTGTGCTTTAAGAAGCAGTTTGGCGTTGCTGTGTAAAGTCTTCCACTCGCCACCCTAGCACCCTGTTCACTCTTCCACCACCCCGTATTCTCCACGATAGAACAGTGTTGTTGAAAGTATGGAAAAACCGTGTGTAATGTTGTGCTGAGCAATTTCCATTTCTTTGCTTGACCATGGCAATAAGCAAAAAGATTCCCTTGTCTTCTCCAGATGACCTGCCATAGTTACATTACTAGAACTAAAGAGGGTGCCTGAAAACACCTATTTGATTTAAAAAAATCCTCAGTTTTCCTACAATCCCCCTGATTCTTGACCCCTTTTGCCTCTCTGCGGTGCTATGGTGGGCTGGCTTTTTATTACAGGCTTGTTCACAAGCACCGGCTCACTAGGTAGCGACTTATTTTATTAAAAGCGTCGTAGCATATGTTTTGCTTTAAGCATCCAAATAAGGGCACAGGCCAAGGCTCTTGGGTTTTGACAGCATGGCACATTAGCCCAGTTCAAACCCAGTTCAGCTAGCCAACAAGGGGTGGATTAAAGTGCATTTGAGCTGAACTGAGCAAAAAGGGCTTAGGCTGTGTTTAAACTTGCAGCCTTTTCCTTACTGGCCTTTCGTCAAGCGATTCCCCTCCCAAAGGTGAAATCTCCGGGAAGGAGGTGAGCTCCGCCTTTGTTTCACTTGTTTGGTCAGCACCCTACACTCCAGGGCTCTGAATCCTGATTAGGTGCCAGGGCTATATAAATAACAAGCAACATTAATAATAATGAGCTGTTGCCAAGAGATATAAAGAAAACAAACCCCACAGCAGGCCCACAGCAGAGAGACACAGCCAGAACTCTCCCTTTGCTAGAGTCCTAGGTTTCTAAACCAGGAGCCTCATCTTGTCTGACCTCCTACACAGCACGCCAGGAGTTTTAGAAAGATGCCAAATCTTGACAGAAAACCCCACTTCTCCCACCATTTCTGAATCTAAAGTCTGCCTTCCACCCTATTTAGACTGACTCCCCCACACCTAAATTACCGGTGTGGTTTTTTTCTTTCTCTCCACCCTGTTCCATCACACTGAGGTTTGGGTTTGCGATGGGTGAGGTTTCCTGTTTCTCTCTTTCCCCTATCAAAAGGCTGTCGCAACTAAAGAGCGAGATTTGGGCAAAACAAGGAGCAAAATTTTACATCGAGAGCAAACTACTTCAAGTGATTGAAGCAGGGTGCCCATCACTGCCCAGTTAAAACGGTACCATTTTAAACTCACTCAGGACAGGTAAAGACGATGACCTCAAATTGCCAAGCGGCAAAGACCCATCTCCACGTTTTTATTGCAGGTTTTCTCATTTACTGTTTGCACGGCCGCGCCTCTAAGGTAGTGATTTTTTTTGTTAAGTCAGGCGGCAAAACCCTTTGTGTTCATAAAAAGAATTCAAACAAGACAACCCCCCCCCCC